AAGTTATGGTATATTTTCATTACTCAGTAAATGCCTGTAGAAGTTTCTTTCCTTCTAGTTCCTCATTTCATTGCCAGTTTGACATACGATCCCAGCCATGGGCGTTCAGTACTCAAAGAAGCCCTGTGACAATGTATCCCCACCTCCTTCTCCTTCAGACTTTGTTAGGATTCATTCTCTTGACCCTGAGGTCCACTCGGTGTCTCAGATCCAAGTAAAAACTCACACTCCATAAAGACACTTGCATCTGGGCAAACCCTACTTCTAACCTGCAATTCAGACCTAGTCACAGAACTATCCAAAAACCAGCTTTCTTCTTTCTGTTTCCTGGGCGAAAAGATCCTACACTACCTCCCCAAAGCTGCCTCTACTTTTCGAGCTAACTGCAGCAGTATGACTCAGACAGGTCATTGCATTAGGTTCTTCATGACAGAGACCAGTACCTCTAAAATGACATCCTCTTTTCTGGTTCCTAATCTTCCCTGTAATCTCCAGTGACCACTGAAGGCTTAGTCCTAACATGTTTGAGCCCCATCTTTTCCTACATTAAGTCTCTCTCTGAAGGAAAAGGTAAATGACTATCAGAATTTCTCCCACTGAGACCCATCAGGACTTTTACAAAGCACAGTGCTATTAAAAAATGTTATCTTCAGGGACAAAACTCAGTAATTACTGATGAGGAATAATTGTCAGTGTTTTAAACAACGTCATTAAGAAATTTCAAAACATAGGAAATGGAATCAGTAAAAGAAAGCTCCACAGAGATAAGCCATGAAGGACAGAAAGAACTTTGATAGGTACAGATTAAGAGCAAAAGTATTCCAATTGAAATAAACAGCTAACAGGAAGCCCAGATACTTAGAAAAACAAAATACATGTGATGGCAATAAAGAGAAAAGTTTAACAGGATTTTGATGCTATCAAGAAATTACTGTAAACTTTTTTAGACATGATTAATTTTTTTTTATTAAAGAGTATTTGTCTTTTGGAGGGAACTACCAAAACATTTAGAGATAATAATAGGATATTTGGAAATTACTTCAGAATAATGCACAGTGTGTGTGTTGGGGTGGGGGAATAGTGGCTGAAACAAAAATGGCCATGAGTCAGTAGGTGTTAATGCTGGGTTAAGAGCTAGATGGGATTCCTTATACTGTTCTCTCTTCTTCTATATTCGTTTCATTAAAAAGGAGCTAAAAGAAAGAAGGGGGGAAAAAAAGACCAGTCTGACTAGAACAAAGGAACCTAATGGGAGTAAAGCAGAGCAAACAACTAAAAGATGAATTATACTTACAAGTGTGTAAGCCACACATCATATATCTAGTAAGTGACTAGTATCCTGAATATACAAAGAATTCCCACAATTCAGTAATAAAAAGATAACCCAAATTTAAAATGGGCAAACGAGGGCGCCTAGGTGGCTCAGTCGGTTAAACATCTGCCTTCAGCTGAGGTCATGATCTCAGAGTCCTGGGATCAAGTCCTATGTTGGGCTCTCTGCTCAGCGAGGAGTCTGCTTCTCCTTCCCCCTCTCCTTCTGCCCCACCCCCAGCTTGTGCTCTCTCTGTTGCACCCACTTTCTCTCTCTCTCTCAAATAAATAAAATCTTAAAAAAAAATGGGCAAAGGATTTGAATAGACATTTCTTCTTCTCTGAAGAACATAAAAATGGGCAATAATCACATACGAAAAGATGCTCAACATCATTAGCCATCAAAGAAATGCAAATCAAAACCATGAGATACCACTTGACAGCCAGTAAGATGGTTATGATTTAAAAAGTCAGACAATACAAGTGTTGGTGAGAATGTAGAGAAACTGGAACTCTTCGCACACTGCTGGTGGAATGCAGAATGCAAACCTCAAAAAACACACCGGCAGGGCACCTGGGTGACTCAGTCAGTTCATTAAGTGTCTGCCTTCAGCTCAGGTCATGATCCCAGCGTGCTGGGACTGAGACCCGTGTTGGACTCCCTGGTCAGCAGGAAGTCTGCTTCTCCCTCTCAATCTCCCTCTGCCCCTCCTGCTGGCTTGTGCTCTCTCATGCTCTCTCTCTCAAATAAATAAAATCTTTAAAATACAACACACACACACATACACACTCTCTCTCTGACAATTAATCAAGGAGTTAAACTAGAGTTATCATGTGATTCAGCAATTTCACTCCTACCCAACAAAAATGAAAATGTATGTCCATACAAAAACTTGTCCAAGGGTGTTCACAGCAGCATTATTCAAAACAGCCAACTGAAAAAACACTGAAGGGCTGATATATCCTACAAAATGAATGAACTTGAAAACATGCTAAGTGAAAAAAGCCAGACACAAAAGGTCACATATTTGTGATTCCATTTATATGAAATGTCCAGAGCAGGCAAATCTATACAGACAGAAAGTAAATTAGTGGTCAGGGGGGTGGGCCGGGGGAGTGGGAGGGTTGGGAGAGAATAAGGAATAATGCTAATAGGTCTGGAGTAATAGAAATGTTCTAAACTTAAATCACGTTGATAGTTGCACAACCATGTGAACGTACTAAAACCACTGAATTGAACACTTTAAAAAAGTGAATTTTATGTCAACAAGGATGTTTTAAAAGTCTGTAAGCTGTTCTATGGAGTGTGCCCAAAAACAAAACAGAGCAAGATAAATCTCTAATAGCACGGTGATGATGAGTAGGGATTTCAAGAAAGAAATTAAAAAACAAAGAAGTATGAGGAATGTATTAATTTTGGCCTTCCGGAAAACAGTAGTCTCACTGACAATAATTGGCATAATAGCAAAGCGATGGCAGTTCATTAATTATCAATTATTTCAATGTATTTCAGTAAATACAAATATTTGTTACCTGACTCTGAAGTACAGGTAAAAGTTCTGGTAGATCTGAGACCAAAAATACATATATCACTTATTACATTAGCTTCCCCTAACTCTAACTGACCACTGGAACCACTTTAGCTTTAAAAGCTATTCTGGGTACTACCCCAAGAAAGTCTGATTCATTAAGTTTAGAGCAAACCACTGCATGAAGGTTTGGCATATTATATATTCTATTAGCTTATTTTTCTTTGTTTCATTTGTGTGAGTTTTATTGCCATTAGGTATAAAATTACATACTTTTCTATTTCCCACAGTATCTGTTAGACATAAAGCAGACATTAATAATTGCAGAGCACCTTAAAGTCCATAGTAATATCTAGCTTCAGCTAAAATGAAATCGGTTACATACAATCCACATACTTGGGAAAACATTTATTTGGTCACATCTTTGATTCCTTACCTGTTCAGAAATCCGGAAATGCAAAGGCTTTTTGTTTTCATGTTACCATATGGGTTTTTACCTAATAATGACATGTTCTCAAGGAATGGCTACTATAGCTGAGCTTACAGCTCCAGAAATCTACTGGACTATCTTCCCTATCTGACTCTTACCTATCTCCTTTCTTCTCATTTTTAGACAAAACAGAAAACCCTGGTATATTAAACCTGTCCCACTACTAAGATCCAAACCCTGGTTCTCCACTGGTATCACCTCTTATGCTACTGAGAAAGTGAACAGCTTCAAGTTATCACCACAGACAGGACTAATCCAAAAGCAAACAAGCCCTATACCTTTGTGCCTCTTGCTTTTCTTTTTTCTGGAGACGGTTCTCTCACGGATGCTCTCCTCCTGGGCATCCATCTCATCACTGCTGTCAATGATGTCACAGGGCTCACCAACCCCAGAAAGAGCTTCCACTGCAGGAACCTGGGAGGCTTCCAAGCCACAAAGAGATTTTACTAGAAGAAAATAAGGGGAGAATGAGATGGCAGAGTCCCATCCAGAAATACAAATGACTTAGGATATCAGCATCCATGAGGATAAGGAAAAAGGGGGGGGAAGCAATAGTGTGAGACAGTCTGCTAAAGAAAGGTGAGAACTAAAAAGAAAGAAATTTTAGCATTTTAAATACTAAAAACTGGAAAGCAATAGGCAAACTGACCCCAAAGTTGCAGAGATTGACTCCTTAAAAGTGTCAACTTCAGACCTGAAGAAAAAGGGAGTGCATTATTCTCCCACTATAAACCCTGCAGGATAAAAACAAAAAGTAAATGCTATTCTCATTTGTATAAATTCTGAGGAGCAATGTTTGAGAGAAAATGAAGCCAATTTGACCCTGTTCCTAAGTCGGAGACAGTAGTGTCATAAAAGCCCAAGTGTCAGGTACCTGTGAGTAAAAAGCTGGAAAGGAGGAGAAACAAGAGAAAAGGAAAAGCATACCTCAGGATTATTACACAAAGAAACAAACTGCAGAATAAGTGGAGAATATATGTGAACCACAGGAAAAAGATGAACAACCAATTAGAAAGCAGTGGAAACTACAGAAGAGTACGCAAAGATTTTTTTTTTTTTTTGATGCAAAGAAAGAAAATATTTCTGCTACAGAAAGCGCTACTGCTCTTGGCTAATCCTCCCTTCCCCCTCCTCCGAATACATGAGGGGCCACTGAAGATAGCAAACACGTTTATGGGAAAATGCCCAAAGGCTTTTGCAAGAAAAACATTGAGGCGCAGTTCCAGGAAAATAAAACACCTAGTTCTGCCTTCCCGGCCTGAGTCTTTCGGCAGCCTACCTTCCTGCTGCACAGCATTGGCGACGGCTTTCTTGACTCGTCCAGACCTCACGACCGCCGGATCCGAGTTGGCATAATCCGCCACGGTCACTGAAATACAGGAACAACCCTCAAAAGAGGAAGCCTTCTCTCCGTCAGCGTCCTCTCCGCCAAGACCTCCTGCTCACTGCAGGTCCCCAGCCCCAGCGCCCTCCCATTACAGGCAAGCGAGCGCTCGCCTCGGCGCTGTCCAGCCCCCTCCCTGCCGCCAGCACCGTCTTTCAACGCCCCCGCCCCCCGCCCACCTCGTCCAGAACAGGCGTCGTGGGCCCGGAACTTGAGACGCTTCCCTCTCTTGGGCATGGCGACCGCGTCGGGGCGAGGCCGGCCTAGCAGGCCGGGCCCCCGGGCCATGTCTTGGTCCGGAGAGCCGGCTCCGGGAGCCGCGCGCCAGCTCCGCCCGGCTCAGCGGCCATCCCGCACCGGAGTCCGCAGCTCTCGCGAGGACTGCCCCGCGTCGCGTTGGCAGTCGACGCCCCATTCGGAAACCAATCACCGCCTGGTCTGCGGAGTACGTCATCATCCAGCGCCTACAGATCACCGGCAGCGGAGTTCCGTAGGGGTCAACGTGTGTCTGGATTGCTGTTGTTCTGGGTAGTGTGGAATTTCGCCGCACCTCTTGTGAGGTGATTGGTATCTCAGACCTGGAACCCACGCTCGCGTTGACTAGAACTGAGTTTGCACCCTGGTCTCCACGATTTTTCAGCTACCGCCTCTGTCCACACACCAGGTTCACTTCAGCACCCAAATGTCCGTACGTTGCCGCCTTCGTGCTTGCTATTCCAACATGAGTAAGAGTCTTCACTCTAATTTCTTATCTTATACAGAAGCTATAAAGTTCTGAATTCTCAAAATGGAGGGAGGGGTTCTCAGAAGTTTTTCGATGTACCACCATCCTCCAAACAAAACACTAGAAGGATCGATGAGGAAAGAAAATGGTCATTCCTTTGTATTGAGAAAGAAAAAAGTCACTGAGCGTAGATTTCAGAACTGTGAGGGAGCAGGACCCTGGACTGGTAGCGCCAGTACGAATAAGAAGCTATCTAGTGTTCTGAGTTATGTTCTTTGTGCTAACTTCCTTGCAGTTCTCAAAAGATGCTAATCCAGGTCTTGAGAACCCAGACATCCAACCTGCTGGATCCACCGTAAGAAATTTAGGAGAGTCCTGTTTTTAATGACTAGTGATTTTAGTGATTACCTAATACATAAAAGTTCATTAGGAGCAAACCACTGCCTTTTACTAACATTGTGCTAATAGGCTTGAATCAATTAGGAATTATAATTGAAGCTGAATATAATCGGTTATAATTGTGAACCATTCAAATTTAATTTATCTAAAGGTGTAACATAAAGCAAGGTCCAATAGACTGTTAACTAAAAGAAAATTGTTTCCAATAATTTTTCCATGTATACGTAATTCACGTTTGTTGTCAAGTTCAAAATGCAATTGGTAAGCACTGAGCCTTCTCATTTCACAATGTTATCAATATAAAATTAATAAGGCCAGTATTCATGTAGATTTCTGCTGATGAGGCAATTTGCTGAAAGCACTCAGGGATCAGGTCTCCAGAGAGAATCAAAGGTGCAAAAGATAAAAAGCCCATTAAAATGCTGTCACTGTTGCAAACTTAAAGGTTTTAAGTGAAATGTTCTCATTTTCATTGGTACGCAGTACAAGTTTAATGCATTGGAATGAAAGAAGTGCTAATCCCAAAACTGTTTATTTCACCTTTCAAAATTTCAAGAATGAGAAATAAGGCCACTCAGACTGTTAAGTCCTTTGGCCACTTTAGTGGAACAAAATGCCTATAGATCTTTTATTCCACTTTCTATTAAAAAGCAACAACTTTTCATTAATACCACTGTTAGTTTCCAGATCCAAAATACAGGTTCTTTCTAGAAAGACAAGTTGTAAACGTTACTAAAAGAGCTGTTACATCTAAATGCAAGTAGCATCTAGCTCTTCCCTCTTGGGGCCATCGCTGAAGCGCCAGCGGCCAAAACGAAGTTTAATCCCTTTGTGACTTCTGACCAGAGCAAGAACCGAAAACGGCATTTCAGTGCACCTTCCCACATTCGCAGGAAGATCATGTCTTTCCCTCTTTCCCAAGAGCTGAGACAGAAGTACAACATTCGATCCATGCCCATCCGAAGGGATGATGAAGTGTAGGTTGTGCAAGGATACTACAAAGGTCAGCAGATTGGCAAAGTAGTCCAGGTTTACAGGAAGAAGTACATCATCTACATTGAACGAGTGCAGCGAGAGAAGGCAAACAGCACAACCATCCATGTGGGCATTCACCCTAGCAAGGTGGTTATCACCAGACTAAAACTGGACAAAGACCACAAAAAGATCCTTGAACGTAAAGCCAAATCTCGCCAAGTAGGAAAGGAAAAGGGCAAATATAAGGAAGAAACAATTGAGAAGATGCAGGAGTAAAGTAATCTTATATGCGACTTGAAATAAAAACTGTTAAAATAGAGCGCCTGGGTGGCTCAGATGGTTAGGCGTCTGCCTTCGGCTCAGGTCATGATCCCAGAGTCCTGGGATCGAGTCCCGCATCGGGCTCCCTGCTCCTTGGGAGCCTGCTTCTCCCTCTGCCTCTCTCTCTCTCTCTCTCTCTCTCTGTCTCTCATGAATAAATAAATAAAACCTTTAAAAAAAAAAAACCGTTAAAATAAATAAATAAATAAATAAATAAATAAATAAATAAATAAATAAATGCAAGTAGCATCTAGCTATTAACCTAGTATTAGGAAGAAGGAAGGAGATTGTTCTAAAGTCTTTGTCCTCAACAAAGTGGAAAGTTTAATAAGGACAATAGGAATGAATACATATAGCATTAGGATGCTCTCTTTCTAAGTTTATCCATCCTACTTTTGGGGTATTAAGTCCCCCTTTATTTTGGACTAATAGTAAATGATAGTAGTAGTGGTTGGTAGTTTGAGGTCCTTTCTTGTCAAAACTTAAAAGTGGCAAATCTATGCTGTTTATCAGAATCTTCTTTTAAATTTTAGCCTATGAAGTCCTAAGCCTAGGAACCATTGTTTTGGAGACTGGAAGATTATTTCTTCTGATTTAAAGAAATACATAACAGTAGCATTTCTTATAGGAAGCAGTATAAAGCAGTATAGAAAAGTAATAAAGAGTGTGGATTCTGAAGCCAGACTTACCTGGGTTCAGAAAATATCTCTGCCACTTCTTATCCATGTGACATTGGAAAAGTTACTTAATCTCCCTGGGCCTCAGTTTCCATTCTATAAACTAAAGATAGTGATAACTCCTGCTTTATAGGGTTATTGAAATAATTAATCTATTGGAAAGTATTTAAAATAATACGTAGTAGTCACTCAATAAATGTCAGCTCTTGTGGTGGTGTTAGTTAAAATCGTAGTGTTACTGTTATTTAAAGGCACCTTAGATGACTAAGGTCCTCTTTGCTTCTGCATGAAGAGAGAAATTGAAACAAGACACACATTCTAGTTGATTAAAGTGGTAGAATACTAGCTGATATTTACTGAGTACTTACCATGCAGTGACAGTGCAGAATTCAAACTGGATTCTCTGGCTTCAGGATTGTCTGGCTTCAAAGCTCATATGTAAAATCGCTGTACCATATTACCTCTAAAATAAAGGAAATCATATGAAAGCTTTGCCTTTGAATAATATTAATAGCCTAAACAGATGTGGAGTCAAACAGTGGCCAAGAGGGGGAAAATGTATAGGACAGAAAACAAACTGAAAGGGTACTTGATACATTTCTGTAATGTGCCAAAACTGTAGACAAGATATGTGAAGGATCTGATTCAAAATAAGATTCAGTGGCACTAGAAAAAGTACATTAACTTAAATCTGGAGAAAAGTGCTTGTGACTTTTTATATACTTTATTTAAAATACAGTGTGTGGTAAAATAATTTAAGATGAAGGTTTTTTTTCAGTTAAAAATAAATAGAGTAGTCTAGTAATGGGGAGCTCAGTTTCTAGAAGCAGATGTCTGGGTTTAAATCCCTGTTCCTCCTTTTAATAGCTACATGACCTTGTAAGTGAGGGAAAAAACAAACTTTTCTTCTACCCTCTTAGGTTTTGTTCCTGGAGTCTTGCAAATTAAACTGACAAAAGACAGATTAACATGAGGTAAATATCGGTTTATTGACATGTGCAACATGCACACACATGGGAGACATCAGTGATGAATAACTCAAAGAGATTATTAGGTTTGGGGTTTATATACCATCTTAATAGGTGAAAGGGAGGAGGAGAAAGGCACTTAGAGGAAAACTAATGACTTTTTGGAAAGATAAATGGATTTTCAGGAGAACAAACAGGAAATAAGAAAATTTGTGACAGTGGTTTTCTATCTTGGTTCAAGTGGTCTTTTTGTCTCCTTTCGGACCATAAAACTTCCCTAAATAAAGGATTTAAGGTAGGTTTTATTCTCATTCTTTTTCATTCTTATTTTCATTCTATTTCATTCTCATCCTTCCTTCTGGGAGTAGATCTGTCCTCAAGAAGAATTTATGGTAGTCTTATTTCCCAGAAGTTGTTGCTTTTAGTCAGAGAGGGAAAGCTCTAAAAAGCCTTTTGTTTCTGCAGCTGTTGAATCTCAGATACCCTTAGCTTAAAATAATCTTTATGCCAAAGTGGCATATTTGGGGGTGGCATATTCTGTACCCTCAACCTTGAACAAATTACTTAATCTCACTAAAATTTAGTTTTCTTATCTATAAAATGGGCATAATAACTGTACCCAATTAATAGAGTTGTGAGGATTAAATAAGATAATATATGGAATGCTCTTAGCTCAGCACCTGGAATATAATAACCACTTGATGAAATTCATTATCATTTGTACTTAAAACTAGAAACTTACTGGTTTGAATCAGTAATTCTCAACCTTGGTTACACAATGGATCCCTGATGGGATTTCACAAAGTACCAGTTACCTAGCCCCACAACCAAAGGTTCTTATTCAATAAGTCTGAGGTAGGGCCTGGGCACTCACATTTTTTTAAAAAGACCCCCAGATAACTTTAATGTTCAGCCCAAATATTGAGGTTTAGATCAAGAGTGAACAAACTAGTGGCTACAGGACAAATCTATCCCCTGCTTACTTTTGAAAATAAAGTTTTAGTGGAACATGGTCACACCTACTTGTTTATGTGTATCTGTGGCTACTTTTACTCAAATCTAAAATATTTACTGTTTACAGCAAGTTTGTCAATTCCTGGTTTAGAATGAAGTTGCTGGGCGGCCTATACCACATGGGGGCAATATAGCCTCATTACAGGATCAAGATTTTTGGGGCCTAATAAAACTTGAAAATTGCTAAACTAAACACATCAGGAATTATAAAAATGAATATATTTTTCCTATCTATAAGCTCTTTTGTCTAGTTTCCAATCATGCACAAGTCTATTCTGTATTGAAAACATCTATGCCAAGGGTGCCTGGCTGGCTCAGTCAGTAGAGCGTATGATTCTTAATTTCTGGGTTGTGAGTTTGAGCCCTGTGTTGGGTGTGGAGATTACGTAAAAATAAAATCATTAAAAAAAAAAAAAACACCTATGCCAAACACTGATCCCTCCTCTGTCTACCATTCACGCCTAGTAAATACAGCTTTTACCTGTGGTCTTTCTTTAGCACCTAATCATTTCTGGTATCTTTGAACTCTGGCTTCAAAGCTCATTTGTTCATTGACGGTTACTCCAGGGTCACCAATGACCTCCTAATTGTATTTTCTGAGTTCTCTTTCTTGTATTTCTATGGAGATCCCATCCTCCTTGAAACCCTCTACTCCATGGCCTTTCACATTCTCAGTTCTCTTATTATCTGGCCGCTCTCACAGTTAAGAAGCTCTTTGTTCGGGGCGCCTGGGTGGCTCAGTCATTAAGTGTCTGCCTTCAGCTCAGGTCATGATCCTGGGGTCCTGGGATCAAGCCCCGCATCGAGCTCCCTGTTTGGCGGGAAGCCTGCTTCTCCCTCTCCCCACTCCGCCTGCTTGTGTTCCCTCTCTCGCTATGTCTCTCTCTCTCTGTCAAATAAATAAAATCTTAAAAAAAAAAAAAAGCAGCTCTTTGTTCTTCTCCTTTAACCTGTATTCTCTTAATATGCTTTGTTTAGGATGGGTATCAGTCCAAGTAAGTGTACTACTCTGCTTTTGTAAATTGTTATGGGCCCTACAAAGTTTGGGAACCGCGGTGCTAACTTACTAAACCATGCTTTAGTACAAAATGGGACCAGATAAGAAGGAATTGTTACTAACTGAAGAGGTTTGATCAAGCATCATGTCCAAAGGGCAGACCACAGTAAGTTAGGGGTTGGACACAACCTTCCTTAACCTCATCAGCCCAAACTTCCTGACTCGGTCAACTTTGAGGGCTAGACTCAAGTCTAAACTTAGAAATCTTTATAGTGTTTCCTCCATTAGGGAACATCTGCTCTGCTCCTTTCTTCTGGGTAACAGAAGGAGCCCTGTGGGATGCAAAAAAAAAAAAAAAAAGGAAGGAACTGCATTGCTACCTGTAAACACTGTACTTGCAACTTATTAGCTCAGAGCTCTGAGAACTACACTTAAAAATTCCTAAAGCCACCTCCTCCTATAGCTGCTGCCTAACTACCAGAAAATATTACTACTAGACTCCCACTCAGTAATTCTTTCCACATACTACTATAGATGGAACAGTGTTCCCCATATACAAAAGTATGAATATGTCATATTGTTGTTTTGTTTTGTTTTGTATTTGGCAGGGTAAGTGGAGCCAAATAACCAGACTGGTCTTTGTATTCAGTGGCCTCCTGCATAAAAAATGGCTAACAGTGTCATCCATAGATTGGGGACAAAGGAGGGATGGTCGGTTATTTATTAAGCCAACTAACTGTTTCTTCCTTCAAATGATAAAGTAGAATAGGCCCCTTTTCAGGAAAGCTTGTACTAGAACTAAGCCAAAGCTATTGAGAATCACAGGTTTAGATTGGGGCTCAACATAGGCAGTTGGGAAATAGAGGTTATAACCACACAGAGCTAAAAATAGCAAGCTCGGGGCACCTGGGTGGCTCAGTCATTAAGCGTCTGCCTTCAGCTCAGGTCATGATCCCGGGGCTCTGGGATCGAGCCCCGCATCGGGCTCCCTGCCCAGCGGGAGGCCTGCTTCTCCCTCTCCCACTCCCCCTGCTTGTGTTCCCTCTCTCGCTGTGTCTCTCTCTGTCAAATAAATAAATAAATAAATAAATAAATAAATAAATAAATAAATAAATAAATAAATAAATAAATAAAATAAAATAAAAATAGCAAGCTCTACCACTCAGTGAATGCTAAGAATAAACAGAGCTACCAGAAAGGGCTTTGAGGACCAAGTCTTAGACACATGGGAAGAGTTGACATCTCCATCTGTGCATGTGGGAGAATGTTGAAATGCTGGCCACATTTCCCCTGGACCCTCCAACTTTGGCTCAAACCAACAACCACATTATTACCTAAAATA